CATCCAAAACAAAACTCGTAAAACAGCCCGACGTTTCATAGCATAACTTCCATCTTTCGACAGAAATACAGGGGTTTTTGTGGGTTTTTCATAAATAGAAGGGTAGCAAGGAATGTAATTTCCCTTGCATTGCATGGTTACAGTTTGAGCTGGGTGTATGTAAATGTGAAAGCTTTGCATCAGATACTCTCAAATTTACTCTCTTTCAGTATAGGCTTTGACTACCAAAACAGCAGTGTGTGATCTTTGGTCATGATGTGCAAAACGAAAGCACTTCACTCTCAGCCTCACAACCCTGTCACCCCTGAACCAGCAATGAATCTAGTGTTGTCTCGCTGTCCTTATCATCAGTGTGGTTCTGCAAGACTCTAGTTCTTCCCTTCTTCCAAGTTAATTTCCTCATGGGGTAAAGGGATAGCTCTTAAGTCAATTAATTTAAATTAAATTAATTAGTATGAAACCCATATGTGCCCTCAAACCATAGTTGCACAACTCTCAATTCAACCAGAATCCAGCAGGTTTTCAGCAAACAAGTCAGTAACTTTTTAAAAAGGAGCTGAAGTGGATCATCTTAACAAATTATCAAGTCCATTAGCTGATGAGGAGCAGAAGTCGAACAGAAATCCAACCAACAGTGTGACCCACCAGAACCAGAGTAGTGCCTTAAATTCTGCAGCAGAGGACTTGATGACCCCTGTTCTGGATTCACCCTTGAGCGCAAGCCTAGTGTGTTTTGAGAGACTGCAAAAAGCTCCTTGCACAGGCTGGTCTGTGCTCAGTGCAGCCACGCCTTGGGCAGCTCCAGTCTCTATTCACATGACTCGTGTTGTTATACATTTCTGGGCTGAGAGGCGCAAGGGAGCAGGGAATGTTAGAAATGGCAATCCCATCAAATTCCTGGGAGGAAAAAATAGGAAAGGGCTAAATAAGCCCTTTTGTTGTTGCGTGCGGTGTCATCTCACTGCACAAACAGGCCACAGAAGCAGGCATCATGAGCCCTCTCCCTGTGTCAGCTAGCTGGACTCGGAGGAACAGGGTGTCGTTTGTGCTGCTGCTCTCAATAAGCTTCTCCCTCAAACAGCCACCCAAGGCAGCATTGCTGCCGTTCTCGCGGACGGGTGTCGCTGCCTCTCCCATCACCGTGAGAGAAACTCGTGCTCTTCCTTCTTTTTGTGGCATGGCGTGTGCTTAAAAAAAGAGTCTTTCAGTAACGGGCTTATATGCTGTAAATTGCACACTTCCCTCTTTTATTTCTGTCTTGCACACCTTGTGTGAGCATAGCAGTGTCGACGATGGTTTCCTTGCGACGTATGCCAGGGGTGGCGTAATATGATTCAATCACCTTTTAAATGGTTGTTCCTTTCATTTGCCTCTCTATTTTCTGCTGTTGCTTTTATTATTTGCTGCTCCGTGGTAATTAGAGGTTCTGGCGTTGATTGCACTCCTTGTAAGGAAGTTGTTGTGGTAGGAGCACTCCTGGTGACTTGTAGAGCATTCTTCTTGATACGCTCACAATCTGAGGTTCCTGCTGTACGCCCTGTGAAACGGTCACGTCTCTAGCTTCCAAATACTACTGCACAGGCCCTTTTGCTCAGTTTCCCACCATGTAGCCAGTGGATCTGTCCGCAGACTTGGATATTCTTTGAGCGTTTGGGGGTGAGTGTTGAGGCCTGTTTGGTGTGCATCTGTGGAGCGACAGGGCACATGGTTTTAAAGTGCCGTTTTGCTTTCTGGGGTGCCTGCGTCTGCCTTCAGATGGCTTGGCTTGTGCAGTCTGCAGGCTGTGGGTCGCCATGGTGACGATAGGCGTTTGGAAACACGCTGGTGGTTGCCAAGGTAACCAGCAGTCTTGAATCGGGATGGCAAAATGTCATTTTTAAGACTGGAGGAAAAATAAAAACCTTTGATAGTGGCTGTTTGATGCAGGAAGGTTGCACTGCTAAATCATGGAAGGCAAGTGTGGCACCAAGGCTACTAACATAGTTTGAGCCATCACAACAGTCGTTCTGCCTGTTTTGGGGTTTATATTGTTGAAATCCACCCTTTCTTAGACATCGCTTACAGTATTCAGGTTTTGTGAACTGGGCAGAGAACCCTCCTTGAGGCTCTAACTTGGCATCTTATTTCCTCAGGTGTCTCTTCCCTCTCATTAATAATGCAGCATTCTCCTCTTCCCTGCACAGCACAGCACAGATCCCAGTTGTGACTGCTGCTCCTGTCTATACCTCTCGGAAGAAGAGCGTGATTCCCATTATAACGTGAAATACACATCCTCTGACCGATCTGTCTGTCCCCTGGTCGTGGGTTCAAACAAGAATGCCTGCTGAATATTTCACAGGCTCTAGTCTTTGTTTTCTGTGTACTCGCGTTCCAGTTTGTAATACAGCCCCCATAGCCTCCCCCCTAGTGTAACTCTGCATTCAGTTGGCCTTACATCTATCATGTCTTTTACTGATACAGGAGACTAATAAGCATTTTCAAAAAAGGTGCATCCAGCAAACAGCAGTTATTTACTGCAACAAGCAGCAGTGGTTTATTTGAGCCTTGAAAATATAAGTGCTTTGTCTGGGCCAGCTGATGCAGGCTGCTGAGAGAGCATTGCTAATTCTGTGCTGGGTGCCAGCCAAAACTCCCCAGCGACACACCCACCCAGTTCTCTTGCTCATACTGTCGCTCTCTCAGCTCATCTCCTACAGGTCTGACCTGTTCAGCTGGGGGTCATGACCTCTGAACCCCAGCGGCCCACCACGAAGGGTTGAAAGAGGGTCAGGAGTGAGGTTGGAGAGGTCATCAGCCATGTGACCAGAGGCTCTGGCTAAATCGAATCAAATGACTGCTGCTCACAGAGAGGGCAAGCCTGGATTGTGTAAGGCTGCTAACTAGATAGGAGAGGAAGACTGGGACCCAATTCCCTGTTCTGATGGAGCACATGGACAGCATGCTGTTAATTTAAAGACAGTGTCTCCGGCCTCTCAGTAACATTTCCTGTGTCTTTAAAGGTTGGGGTGTTTATAACCCCTGCCCGGCTGCTTGCTCTTTTTCTTTAAAAGCAGAGAGACTGTCCCTTTTGCGTCTAGAAAATTAATTTAATACCACTGTCAAACTGCTCTGGCCAAGATTTCACAGCATGCGTTGCTCATTCCTGTGGGGTGTTTTGCTATGGTGCTGGGAATGGAAGGTTCAAGTCCAGCCCTCTTTCTTCTTTTCCGTTTGATCGAGTTTATTGCGTGTGGATAACTGTAAGGGTGCCATGGGAATGCTGTTGATTCTGCACAGATCAGCCAAATGACATGTTATGCGCATTTAAAACGCAAGACATTGTGTGCATCCAAAGTGGAAATATAGATAGCTGTCAGTAGTTTTTTTTTTTCCTTTTCACATTTAAAGGAGTCTCTTTAACAGTGCTTGCTCCCAAGTACTAATATATTCTGCAGTTTTGATGAAGCTTGGTTTCAGGCCTTTAATTACTGGTGCTTTCCTCCAGTGTTGCTTTTGGGGTTGCTGGCCAAGCCTGTGTTAGAACCCAGTGCCCGCTGAAGGCTTGTCTGGTAGCTTAGCAGGCTGACGAGGTCCCGCGCTCATCCTGATGCCCGTGCCAGTGCTTCCTACAGGTCTATTTTGAGCTCTGTGCTGGGTGCTATTGAGATTAATCATCCCGTGTCAAAGGCGAGGCCAAGAGCTAAGCTGTTGTGGCTGCAGCAAGCCACATGTCCTCAACGCTACTGGTGCATACCGAAATCACAGCACTGCAAAGAGTCTTGAATGCAGTGCCTCTCCAGAGGTCAGCTGGTCACCATCACTGAGTCAGTTGACAATTGGCTTTTTCCCATCAGGGTGAAACAGCTGATCTGTTCAGTCATTTAAAAACAGGTTCTACCCCAGATAGGATTTCAGGTTGCACTTTAAACCCAGTGAACAAGTGATGTTCTTTTTTTATTTTTTCAAACCCTGAGCCCGCGTCAGAGTAAACTTCTAAGTTATTGAATCTCTGTTTTATTTTTAGATGTGAATCTGTGGACTGTTGGTTCTCATACTGTGTATATACTGTTCAAACAAGTGATTTAGGTCATTGAAGGTTGTATACAGTACCTCCTTTGCTTGTAGCTTGTGATCAGCTGCTGTATCCTGTATTTATCTAGTAATGTAAGCACTGAGAATCCAATGTTGCAGTCATATTAATAACAGAAATGAATTGCAGGAGTAAAACTAATGACATTACAGCAGTCTTTATAGCATAAAAGTAATAGTGGAAATAATTTACAACAGAGTGACAGCAATAATGGTAGCGCAACAGTAGTAATATTAATCTTTTCTATATTTTAATGACTGCGTGAAAAATACATGTGTATCACCCACATAACATTAGATGCTCTGTGGATCTGCGTGTCATGCTGGGAGTTCTGTAGTGTGAAATTCGACTGTCTGTGCAGACAAGTAATGCATGAAAGGGAGGCAGGGCATAAATATTACAACTCAGTTTTGCAGATAATACGATCATGTTCCTGGCTTGGCCCTGCTGTGATTTAAGGTTGTTACAGTTTGTGTATGTGACCGGTATGAAGTGTTTGTAAATAGAGAGATGCGTTTTGACAAGCTGCTTTCAGCTCTTGTAGCTGTCAAGGTCTGTGCTTCGGTGTGTATTATATCAAGATATTCCTTTCCTGCCGGTCAGCAATTCTGGTAAAGATGCTTTCTGTGGCTCGGCTTGAACAGAATTCTTTTATTTGAAATTTTTATTTGGAAAAACAGAACAAGCTCTGGTTTACTCAGCCACCTTAGTTGACTTCTTGTCTGCTGTCTCAGCATCAGGGAGACAGTCCAGGGACGGTGGAAAGAAGGAAAACTGATTTGTCCCCCAGGAGACAGGCCGGTGTCCTGGAGCTGTGCTGTTCTGATACCGGTCCAGGCGGGGGGTCGTGCCGTGACCCCCGGCCAGGGCTCCTGTGCTGTGTAGGCACCCCTGTCTGACCGCCTCCCCTCCTTCTCTCTCTCGTTCCCAGTTCCGGACGACCTCACCCCAGAGGAGCAGCAGGAGCTGGAGAACATCCGCCGCCGGAAGCAGGAGCTGCTGGAAGACATTCAGGTGCCGCCCCGTCCGCAGACGAGCTCGTGTCCGGTCTGATCCCGCTTTGATTGGGTCTGTGAGACGGGCGTCATGCCGTCCATCGGCTCGGCCCGCCTGCTGCCGTGTGCCCACCTGGGCCAGCTCTCTCGGCACCGCGTTCTGCATCGGCTCGAAAGACTAGGAGTTGGCTGCCCCCCAGGGGCTCCGTCTACATTTCACGTTTTGATTAAATATTTACTTCCTTCCTTCCAAGCTGTTGCTGCGGTCCCATCATTTTTTTTTTTTTAATCGCTAGGATGTTTTGGCCCACGTGGAAAAAAAGCCAAGCATGTCCGCACTTACAATTTCTCAGCTGTTAGCCGAAGTTGAGCAAGCGGGTTTGTGTAAGGATGTTGCTCCTGGGAAAGGGTTATGCTTATCATGAAAAATGGGACTGGGAATTCGCCTTTGATGTGTTGCTTGCATTTAAAATGTTTTACAAATGGTTTTGTTCTAAGCAGCTGCATTACATAAGGTTTATGTAATTTGATTGCATGCAGATTTGTACACAAAATACAGGCTTGGATTTAATTAATACCCCGTCTTGTCAGAAGCTGCGTTTTTTTTTTTTACGGCAGGAGTCGGGTGTCCCTTTTCAAATTGCAGATGTCTTATGTTTTTGTACATTGAAGTGTTGCAAGTTTGCAATGTGGGAAGCATTTTTCTCAAATTCTCCAGGCCGCTTTGTGTTGTCTGGCACATCTGGGTTAACAATTCAATTGACAATTAATAACTGGGTTAACGTCAGCATTTGATGACCAATGACAAGTGGTTTGTCTAAAGCAAGCAATTCTGAAATGATCCTATACAAGGCATTTCTCTGACCAGACATCCAGACCGTGTTCTTTACAATAGAGGACCTTCTATATGGTACATGAGAACAAACAGGCTTTCTGAGTAGTCAGAATTTATTATCAAAGGGGGTTACTGTGCATGGTAGGGGGTGTTAATCAAACCAGATTCCTTGTCCCCTGCCAATCCAACAGCTGTAAGACTGCTGCAAGTGCTGTAGAGCAGATGGCTTTTACCCAATGAGCAAATTTAATGGTCTCTGTTATGTAGAGCCGATCACTAAAAATTGATTACTGTTCGGCTTTTTGTTTCAATAATTACCTATACAACGATCCACCCGCTTGTTATTTTGTTTTTTGCCTCTCACTAAAAGGATCTCTTAAGAACACCGCAAGCTGTGCTCCAGTAATGAGCAGCTGAGCAGTCTTACACAACAATTTCAGTGCACCTTTTCTTTAAGAAAACCGTATCCTTAGAGCTCCGATGTCTTGGAGGATCTCAAGAGGCAAATGTGTGATCAGTCTTCCAGTTCGGATAATTCCAAATGGCACAGTGGCGCAGTACTGCTGACTCAGAAATACTGTGACCTGACCCACTTCTGAGCAGGAGCCAGTCAGCGCCCGCGGCCTGCTGTTATCCGGCTCCAGTGACGCGCCAAGGTCTCCCTACACAAGCCCTGCCTTTGTTTGTGGAAGCAAGCATCCGAGGAATTTGTTGTGATAGCTGAGCCTGCGCCTTGAATCAGCCGGGCCTTTGACGGGACTGCTGAGTTGAGAGGGGGTGGCTCAGACAGCCCTTAAGCAGAAGAGACAGTTCTGAAATTCTGTTCACTGCATCCGCAGCTGAAAATCCCCGTTTTGTTGCCCCTGGGGCAACCAAAACACAGTTGAGTTTCCAAACCTCAGAGAAAAAGACCCTCAGGCATGGAATTCATTGAATTCCTTCCAGACCTTCAGATATTCTTTGCTTATGAGGGGTCTGATGAGTCCTGCAGGCACAGCGCAGGGCAGTCCGCGTCCTTTAAGGTAAGGCTGCTGACCTGGAAGATGTAGGCCCAGCTAGGGGCAGGGGTATGCAGTCTACAGTTCACCCTCCATCGAGCACACTGTATCGCAGGGCTTCTCAGACATGCAAACCTCACTGCTGTAACCAGGTCAGCTGTGCGTCTTGCACGGTGTCTTTCAGATTGGGTCGAATAAGCAAAGTAGGGTGAGGATGCTTTGTTAAATTATTAAAGAGTTCTCAACTGATCGTTATTTCCTGCACGTCTTGACCGGCGGTTCCAAACCCTTGTCCTGAAGGAACACTCTCTGTTCCGATTCTCACTCCAGCTGTGTTCTGAATCACAGTCTCATTGAATTCAATTTTCTGTTTGGGGGTCTATGTATAAATTTGCTTTCAGCTCTTGAAAGGTAAAATGGAATTTGTAACTGGCATCGGCCCTGTACCAGTTTCTGATTTTCAGAACAGCCCTCGTTCAGGTGTGCCGTCTGAAACGTGACCAGCTGCACCTTACCCACTCTGTGGAACGATAAAACACAGTGGACGTATCTGATACAGAGTTATTCGCGCCAAAGTCTGATCATCGCCGTTGCTGGAAACAGGACCCTTGAAGTCGGGTATTTTCGATCCTCACGACTGACCAAACTAACATTTTAAATAAAAGTCTGAACAAGCAAGTATTGGTCAGGGTTCCTCCAGGGCTGGAAGCAGACAGAGCAGTAATCCAGTGCTTCTCTCTCACAGAGCAGTATTGCTGTTTCAGAGCTAATCCAGTTCCTTTTAGGCTCCTCTTTATACATGAAGCTGTTGTTTGGCTTCCTTCCTATCTTCTGTTCCATTAGCCTTGGGGCATAAGCAATTTTTTTGGGTTAATAATGAGGTTTCTATTGAACCAATTAGGAGTAATTCATTGAGCTTAGTGCAGAATGTGAGGTGGTTACTGGATGAACCTATTTACAATCTCAGCAGTAACCTGTTTTAATTTGTGATGAGACCGGCTCCTGTATTGGTGCTCTGCAAAATAAAAGCAAAGTCACAGTAGGCCATTACTGTGGAAACTGAGAAGCTTTCTGCTCCTGCCTGAGCTTCACGAGAGCTCCCTGCTCTCGGCCTCGTCATGCCGCCTTAGGTCCTCATCTGCAGGATTCCAGTACAGTCTTAACATTTCACGTGTCGGAAAGTGACAGCATCAGATGCAACTGTAGCGTAAAAGTGGCATTTGTAGTTTTTGACATACTCCAATAACATCAAAAAAGAT